ACAAAGCAGTCATCCGAGAGTCATCTACCAGCTCGAAATTGAGAGTTGTCTACGACGCTTCCGCCCAGGAAAGTCCATCATCTGATCATCCCCTCCTTCAACGAGTGTTTATACCCTGGTTCCCCTCTCCAAGCCAAATTATGGGACATACTAGTTCATCAACGTATGTATTCTGTCGCAGTAACGGCTGACATCGAGAAAGCATTTTTACAAGTGCGAATAAGGGAGTGCGAGCGTGACGCACTTCGATTTCATTGGCAATACATATATACATACATACATGCACACATACATAAACTTTATTTAAACACGGAAAAAAACATCAGTACATCAAAAATATTGCTATTTACAAGTTTTTAAGTATAAAAATAAATACAATGAATGGGAAAGTAGAGATAAAAGAAAGAGTATAGCTGTTCTACCTGGTTGCCATGTGGGGTCGCTTCGTCTAGAATAATATATAGTGATTCCAGACTACTTTTAAACGCCGTGAGAGATCAGTGTGATAATCTAAGCGATTCTGGCAAGTTATTCCAGAGAAATGCTCCACTGTAAGAAAAGGAGCGCTTTAGGTAATCAGTATTAGGTTTAGGAATAAACAACTTGCCATTAGAATTTCTGAGAGAATACTGACACCTTCTAGAGGTAAACATCTCATGTAAATACTGAGGTGTTTGACCGCTAAGTGTCTTATAACAGAGGATAGCTTTCTGTTTTTGTAGATTTCTGTTTTCCACTACTTGCGGAGAACATTCCGACTTAGAAATATTACGTTTTACGAGAGCACTATTTGGGTTAGCCCCATCTCCCTTCCTCCTGGGGGCAGTGATCGATTGTCATCTTGCACTGTGGGAAGCGGATAAGTATTCTGAATTAGTCGCCGAGATACGTCGCAGCCTTTACGTAGACGATTTACTGACCGGAGGACAAACCGTCCAGCAAGCACACGAGCGGAAAGAGAAAGTCATCGCCCATTGAGATATTCAACGGCACCAACTTTAACTTGCACAAATGGAATTCGAAGGCAGAAGAACATTGGAACTAAAACGGAACTTGACAGCTGAGGGAAATGAACAATCTTATACAAAGCAACAATTGGGAGTCAAACCGAATGAATCAAATATGCTTAGGTTGAAATGGGACAAAATGCAGGACACTTTAACCGTGAATTTTCCTAATTAAGTGTAATGATAGTTCTGATACAGTAACGAAACGTGGGATTCTATAAAAAAGACGAACGCAGCTCCATTATCCGAGTAGATTATTCTTGGTCGTCCGCGTCGAGCCCGCCATCAGCCGTTTCAAGCACGGAAGGAATGTAGTTGCTTCGCGGTTCTTAATTAGCTCAAGATGTACTGCTCTGGACAGACTGCACGTTTGTTAGAGGCTCTGTCGTAGATTGGACCTGCGAAGTCTGTGCCTATAACTTCGAAGGCTGCTCCACCTGATGTACGGTCTCTGGGAAGCTTTCCTGGCATTGGCTTTACGACTGGAGTTGCTGTGAATCGTTTACAACGCCAGCACTTCGATCGAATTTCTTTCACGAGTTGCTTTAGTGTTGGGACCCAATAGGTTTCACGCACCGCAGCCATAGTCAACAGCACGCCACCATATAGCGTTTCAACATGGAATCTCTGTAGTTTGTACGATTTTTCTAGTAAACTCTGGAGTCAGCTGGTAGATTGGGTGTTGAATCAGATAACCGTACTGTCTCTTCAAGGGGTAGTGATCGCTCCCATTTGGTCCACCGCTGTCTCAGGGGACCCACCAGTACTGCACGTCTCAATAGATAATTTTCCCCTCTAAATAAAGTCACAGGGGAGTATAGTGTATAAAACACGCACAATATCGTTCATATATTCTCACTCTGCTTTTCTAAACAACGTGCAAACTAGAAGTACTCAGTACCCCTAATACCCCCAAGCATCATTAATGTCCTCAGTGTTACTGTCGTTACTACTTACGTCACAGGACACTATATCCCTCCTTTTACCTGGAGTTAGTGTCAATGCACTTGTCTAATATTTACGAAACACAACCAGTCTTATTGAACTATTAAATATAAAGAAATCAGTTAATATAAACGAATATTATTGTTAATTTCAATCAGCTCTGTCCGTAATAGTCCGGTGGCTGTCTAGCCCGTTTTGGTCTTATGCTGACCTCGTTCTGCTTTTCATGTTTCTTCTCTTCGCTGACCTGTTGTCCGCAATTTTGGAGTCCTCTTTTCTTAGCATCCGCGACGTCTTTTCCATCAGGAATCTTACGTGTCATACTTTCATTTCTCATAATCTGTCGTTCAAAGGGTCGTTTCAGTAGCACACTGGGCCCTTTCTTTTCTTCGACAATGTACGGCTTCAGATCATAGGTCGTCGACAATTTTGTTTGCCGAGGTTGACGGAGAAGCACCGTATCTCCCTTTTTCACGTCGGACGATGGAGCTCGGTTGTGGTCATCAGCGTAAGACTTTATTTTCTCTTTTCTTTCGCGATCATGTTGACGAACTGTTACTGGTATGTCATCAGCTGGTGTCGATGTTGGTGGCACGGGTATTTTATTTCTAATGTTACGGCCAAAAAGGAGAACTGCAGGTGGTTTCCCCGTTGTACAGTGGGGAGTTAAACGATAATTCAGTAGAAAAACATCAAGTTCTTCTTTCCAATTTTTCCCTTCGACGTTCGCTGCACGTATTGCTTTTTCTACAGTTCGGTTAAAACGTTCTACTTCGGAGTTTGCCTGGGGCCAATAGGGTGTGACTTTACGGTGTACAATACCACAATTGGAAAGGTATGTACCAAACTCAGCGGAGGTGAATTGTGGTCCATTGTCAGTAACAATTTCGTGCGGGATTCCATGGGTTGCAAATGTGGTCTTCATGCATTTTATGATAGCTGTGGACGTAGTACTCTTCATGTACTTCTGGCCAACGGGAGCAGGTATCTACCATGACGAGAAGACTTTCTCCACTGGGAAACGGTCCGCACAGATCGGCATGTAGAGTTTGCCATGGCTGACTTGGCATAGTCGTCATGTGAAGGGGCGGTGGTGTGGATACTGGACCTTGGGCTTGGCATGCAATGCACGTACGAATTAGCTGTTCTATGGCTTGGTCAATGCCAGGCCACCAGACCTTTTCTCTTAGCAGTCGTTTTGTCTTCACGATGCCCTGATGCCCTTCGTGGACTAGTTTCAAAGTTCGTTCTCGGAGAGACGTTGGCATCAAGATACGGGACCCGCGAAGGATAATGTCATCAATAACAGTCAGTTCGTGTCTGATACCATGATATGGACGTGTCATACTAACCTTGGGTCAATTGTTCTTCATGATACACTCGCGAAGAAATTGAAGAACTGGATCTTGGTTGGTAGCTTCTTTTATTGTACTAAAAGACAGGGCCTTGGGAGCTGCATTCTGAGCGACAAACTGAACATATTCTTCAGCCGTGTTGCGTGTAGTGGTTGTTGCATTGGGAAGTGGCAAACGAGAAAGTACATCCGCAGGATTACCAATTCCAGGTGAATACTTAACGCAAAATTTATACGGTTGCAGGCGAAGGCCCCACCGTTCAATGCGCGCAGGGGGTTTTGACGTCGGACTGTAGATTATTTCAAGAGGCTTGTGATCTGTATAGATGTCAAAGGTTGTCCCATATAGATAGAGGTGGAACCGTTCACATCCCCAGACAACCGCCAAGGCCTCACGCTCGGTCTGAGAATAACGCCTCTCAACGGCTGTAAGAGTGCGACTTGCATAGGCTACTGGTCTGGTTTCATCGCCATGAGTTTGGATTAATATAGCCCCCAGGCCAAATGGACTGGCGTCAACACGAAGCTGAGTGGGGGCACTGGGATCAAAATGTGCCATGACGGAATTGCTAGTAAGAGTTTTCTGCAAGGATTCGAATGCATTTTGGTGGAGTTTGGTCCATGTAAATGGTACACCTTTGTGTGTGAGCTGTCGAAGTGGGGCTGCTACGGTGGAGAAATTTGGGATAAACCGGCTGCAGTAGTTCACAAGACCCAAGAAACTTCTGACCTCTGAGGCAGTGGATGGCTTTGGGGCATTTCGAATGGCAGTCACAGTCTCATCGGTGGGTCGTATACCATTTGCCGAAATGGTATACCCAAAAAATGTGACTTCAGAAACATTAAATTTGCATTTGTCTCTATTGAGAGTCAGACCACACTCTTGGAGTGTTGCTAAGACAGTGTTAAGGTTATGATCATGTTCCTGTTGGGTTTTCCCAAAAACAATTATGTTATCCGAGATGTTTCGCATCCCAGGGCACCCTTGGAGAGATTGTTGAATCACATGTTGGTATATTTCTGGTGCCGCAGAAACACCAAACATAAGGCGCTTGTAGCGATAGAGACCGGTGTGTGTAGCAAATGTTGTATAATGCCTTGATTGTTCGTCAAGTTCAATCTGATGGTACCCCCATCTTAAGTCGAGTTTTGAGAAGACACATGCACCAGTTAAATCCTGTAAAATCTCCTCTACGGTGGGAATTGGGTACCTTTCTCTGATCACTGCTGTGTTGACTTGACGCATATCTACACAGATACGGACCTTCCCATTTGGCTTGGGCACTACAACCAAGGGGGACACCCATGGTGTTGGCCCAGTGACTGGCTCAATGATGTCTAAGCGCTGTAGCTCGTCTAGTTTGGCTTCTACTTTGCGGCGAACATGAAATGGGACACGGCGGGGTGCTTGGGCAACAGGATGAATTTTGGGATCAACATGGATGGTTTGTTGAAAATCTTTTAGTTTGCCCACACCTTCAAAGACTTTGGGAAATTTAGCAGAAATTTTTGAAGAAATGTCTTCAGACTGTATGGAAACTGAGTTGGCAACATGCAGAAGGTCTAGTTCTGTAGCAGATTTATGACCCAAAAGGCACCCTGTTCCTCGGTTGTTGACTACTACAAACTGGGCAAGAATTTGCTTTCCATTGCGTTCAACTTTGACAGTTATTGTCCCCAAGATGTTCAATGGAATTGTTGAACCATATGTAAACAACCGAATGTTAGAGGGCATAATTTCAACTTTCCTAAGTGTACGTAACTTATAATATGTGTCAATATCCGCAATGTTTACGGTTGCACCAGAATCAATAACGACAGGCACTGACAACCCGTCAACATTAATGTCAGTAGTAGGTAAATTTGGAAATTGTTGTACACGAAAAATGCATTCATCATCATCTGAATAGGAAGTAGCATTGTTTTGTTCACTCACCTGGAGAGCCTGATTTTGAGGTGGTGATGTATAGTTAGCTGGCTTTGGCCGACTCCGACATACCGAGGCAAAATGACCAACTTTGTTACAACTTCTACATGTTTTTCCATTTGCAGGGCATCGAACATCTTTTGCACGATGGCCCGTGTTGCCACAACAATAACAAGGCTGAGAACGCCATCTTGTAAACTCTTGTTTTGATTGATTGTATAGTGACGGATTACTAGCTCCTCGACTAGCTCCAGTATTATTATTAATGTGGCTTGGAGTTTCACGGCGAGAACCACCGGAGTTCTCTGTGTTGTACCTAGGTCGAATGGCATTGATGGAATCGCTAGGTTGCGTAAAGGGCTGTTCCATTTCTTGAGCTTGAAAATGAGACTGTTCAAATGCGCGGGAAATTGTCAATAGCTTCGAGAGGTCGATGTCAGGTTCGCGAAGTAAACGACGGCGAAGTTCTTTTGAAACACATTTATCAATTGCTTGATCACGAATAGCTTCATCTGTTTGTTCACCAAAAACACATGTTTTGCTCAAAGTACGTAATCGAGTGACAAATACGTCCATTGATTCGTCAGGCTGTTGGAAGCTTGCCGAAAAACATGGCGCTCGAATGGAATATTTCTTTTCGGTTGAAAATATTCGTTAAGTTTCTCGAGGGCAGTCTTAGAATCATCGCCAGTGTTAGGCAGGGTTTCAAAGATTTCTTGTACATCAGGGCCAGCAAGGTGTAGTAAAACAGCACGTTTTTGTTTCTGATCAGTTACTCTAGACGCACGGAGATAATAATCGAGAGACTTTGTCCACTTTTCTCATCGTTGAGCAAGGGTTCTGTGATCCGATACAGAGAATGGTGGTACAGCAGGTAAATCTAAAACTTTTGCCATGAGATTCTTTTATCCTCGTCGCCAGTTATAGTGTATAAAACACGCACAATATCGTTCATATATTCTCACTCTGCTTTTCTAAACAACGTGCAAACTAGAACTACTCAGTACCCCTAATACCCCCCAAGCATCATTAATGTCCTCAGTGTTCCTGTCGTTACTACTTACGTCACAGGACACTATAGGGAGACCAACCCAAGCGGATCGTAAATCCTTGCTAAATTTCTTTATACAAACAATACATCGATCTTAAGATCCAGCAATCATTCCAGCAATCTATTGCCTCTGATCTTTTGTATGAAGCAAAACAAATAAACTGTTTGGCTGCTCGTCCCATTGATGTTTAGCCCGCGATCATTTTGATGAATTTTATACATACTTCGCTAACCTGCTAATATTATGCTTTCCCTTTCCCGGGTGTAAATAGCCGAGCGGAATTAGTACCCCATTTCCTCGGTCTTACGCCCAGAATAACGCGAAGTATTGAATATTTTTCGTCGTTGTCTGCACTGGAGCTGGAGCATAATTGTTACTGTGGGGTCCGTGATTTCAGAGTTTTTCAGGCACTTTTATAGGTTCAAAAAATCACTAATACTGCGCTATCAGCCTTTGAGTTTGTAATGAATAGGTATTATACACACATATTTTTAGAATTAGAATTTTGGTTGTTCTGACAAGTAAACGCCATTGGCACTGCAAGTTGTAGCGCCACCAGAAGGCCTAGATAGATAGATAGATAGATAGATAGATAGATGAATCGTTTATTAAATCAATTATTGCAGTCCAATGACTGAATTACAATTGGTTGTTATAAAATTTATAAATACATAGTACTAATGTTTAAAAAAATTGTTATGTATATATATATATATATATATATATATATATATATATATATATATATATATATATATATATATATATATATATATATATATATATATATAATATATATATATATATATACGTATATATATACATTCAAATATTTAAAATAAGTTCGTTTTTATTTCCTTTCGCGTGATGCGTACTCAAGGATAAAAGAGTCCTTAAATCTATATTTGTCCTAATCATTTCTTAATTGTTCTGAAGTTATAACCAGCCTTATTCATTTCTGGTAAAAGTCCGTGAAGTTTGTGATCTTCATTTTCTTCAATTTCACGAAACAGTTTTTCACATAGTTTCTCTCTACGGTCGTTTAGTCTTTCTAGATTTCCCATTTCCAACGCTTCACTATAATCCACGTAAGGATAAATAATTCTTAGGGCTCTTTTCTGAATTTGTTCAATTTCTTTTGAAAGATAATTAGGAAGGCCTGAGTAAAAGGCCTGACAGGCGTATTCGAGGACAGATCTGATACAGGCGCAGTAGAATTTGATCAATGAATTAGTATCGACATTTGCACGTTTTAACTGTTTCAGGAGATAAAGTCGTTTGGAAGCTTTTAATAAAATATTTGCCACATGGACATTCCATTTTAAATCATCGGTAATGGTCATTCCTAAGATTTTTGCGGATGTTACCACTTCGAAATGTTTATCATTTACTTTGACTGGTTCGTCTCTGCAAGGGTCTTTAGTAAAATTTATTCTAAGTTCTTTGCATTTTCCAGAATTTAATTGAAATTTGTTATTATTTGACCAATTAGCCACTTGATCAACTATATCTTGTAAATTGCTATTTTCAGTTCTAGGGATGACCTCCGAAATTGTGGAGTCATCTGCGAATTTCCACATCTTGTTTGTTGAATTCTCTGAAACGTTCAAATCGTTTATCATAATGAGGAACAACCATGGTGCTAATTTGGTCCCTTGAGGTACCCCTGCCTGGACTTGCAGTATATTGGAATGGCACTTATAATTCAACTTGATTCTTTGGGTACGCTTATATAAGAAGTCTGTAATCCAATTGGTGACTGATGGTTTAATTCCGTAGTTAATAAGTTTTGATATAAGAAGGTTATGGTCCACCAAGTCAAAAGCTTTCCTAAAGTCTAATAAGGCAACTTTCACCGTAGAACCTGTTCCATCTGTTGCGGCCAACCAGTTATGTACCATAGAGATAATTGCATGAGTTGTACATGATTTAGGAATGAAGCCAAATTGGTGGGGATCTATTTTCTGTAAAATCTTAGGTTTCAGTTCGTGGTCGATTACAAACCCTTCCGCGATTTTCGATAGTGTAGACGTCAATGATATTGGTCTCAGGTCTTTGTTGAAATCAGTTATGCTCGATGTTTTAGGGATGGGTGATACGTCAACCATCTTCCATGCCTGTGGAACCGCACAGTTACGAAATGAACAATTTAAAATGTCTGTAATGGCTAGAGCTAAGATATCAGCATATATTTTTAATACCCAATTTGGAAGTTTGTCTGGACCATTTGCTCTGGATATACTTATTTTGCGTAACTTCTGCTGAACAGATGTCAGGCTAACTTGTATAGGGTCATCTTCCTCTTGGGTTACATGAGCATCGTCTGTTAAAGGGGTATAATCTTTTGTGACACTAATAAAGGCTTCGTTTATCATATTAGCTAGTACTTGGTCAGAACAATCGTTGTTTATCCTTAGGATAGAACGAAGACCTTTACGGTTTGTTGTTTTGCATCAGAGGGTCTACATAGTTGCAATAGAGGGTCTACATAGTTGCACCAGAGGGCCTTCATAGTTGCACCAGAAGGCCTATATAGTTGCAACAGAGGGCCTATATAGTTGCAACAGAGGGTCTACATAGTTGCACCAGACGGCCTTCATAGTTGCACCAGAAGGCCTATAGTTGCACCA